TTAAAAAAAAAGACATCTGGAGGGGAAAACAAGTTCATCACCAGCAAAGAGTTGTACAGTATCTTCAAATCTAAAGGCAAGGCGGCTCAGTCTTTTATTGAAAACTGCAACAAAACAAATAAGACGAGAGCCCGACAACATTTTCGAAATATTAGATGTTGTCATTATTATTGTTGTTTTATAATCAGCTCTTAATAAATCTGTTGTATGTTGTGTTTGGATTAGGATGGAAGAACGCGTTCCGTAAAGCTGTAATGTATTTCTGACATCAGTTCAACGCGTCATGATTATTTCTCAAAGGGAAAATAACAGTGCCCTCCTTTTGCAGCACTGAGCTGGTACCATAGTTTAATGGGACCTTATAAAATAATCTTACAGAGTTAAACTGCTCCCACATGCACATAAATAGTCCCATGGCCATCGAAAGAAATTGACTGGTTTCTGGGGGGTTAGGAGGAGGATAAGGACAGCTTACAACAAATATCTCCTCCCCTTTAATGCGAATCTCTCTCAATGGTGTGCTTATAATGAAATTGAAGATTAAATAAGTGAAACTTTTGATCCTTCCCAGGAAAATCTTTGCCTGTATGTGATGTATTTATGTACTTTAATTCCAGTGTTTTTGTGAGTGTAACTGCATTGTCAATATGTTTTGCAAATTTCATGTCAATTTATTGCAGCGGTAATTGTTTTCATTCTATGCAAGTTAATTTTGGTTGTTGATTTTCTGCTTCTTTTCAAAAATCTCTTCACGGCTTAGGAGGCAGAAGCTCGGTTTGAGAATCAGATGGGTAAAGTGGTGATGGAGAAACAGGAGATGGAGTGGGAGAAGGTATGGCTGGATGACAGTGGCTCTGTCAGTATTTAAGGTTTGTGTCTTTACAAAGGACTCTTTTCATCACTTGATTGAGATATTTCCTCCGACCATGACAGGACTCATTACAACACCAAATCGAAACAGCTACAAAACAGCATGCGGACTCTCTCATCAATGTTAAAAAGCAGGTATATGTCATTATCACATTATCATGTATGCTACTTTTACAGTGAAAACAAGATAGCGCTGCTGGAAAGTACAATGATGGCATAACATTGGATTAACTGAAAATCAGAGAAGTGTGACAAGATCCTAAGCAGGAAGAGCACATTTTTGCATCTTGTTTGGTCTGCATAGCATGTCGGCAAAAATTCAAGTTATAAGGCTTTAAGAAGGCTTGTACCTGAAGTACCAAGGAGACTTGCGTTTTCCTATCATTCCAGTGTCCAAGGCTTCAGAAACAAGTGCAGCATTCACACTAAAGCAGAGAACTGCAAAGGTCTGGGATAAATGGAACGGTGTAAAAGTGAACCTTTCAGTTTACCCGTTGATTTACATTTCAGCAGTTCAATTGGCTACCGCGAGGCCGTGGCTTGTGAGGAGTTTGGACAGCCAGTGTAATATGCAGTAAAGCTGTTTTTCCTCTTGCTTCACCTCTTGAAGTACCAAGTCACATTATAAGAAGAACCATTCATCGTCTCCCTGAGCGGAAATTCAATTTACGCTTAGTTTTTGTGGTTTAACGTGATGTACGCAACATCCAAATGTGCCCATCTCTATTCACAGCAGTTCGCAAACTTGTCCCTAAGTCATGTCATCACACAATGAGCTAAGGCTGCCCCCAAGGCATAAAACAATACAGATTTTCTTTAAAAAAAAAAAGTAAGTTTGATCTATGACCACGCCCCATCTTACATCTTGATATTTTTCTCAAGTTACAGGCCAAAATAAGAAACACAGAAGAGGAGAAGGTATGAACACCCAGTCCAAGTGAATCTTCTTCAATTACTGTTTTAGCAATAAATTTCCTCATCTCACTTGCACCCACCCTCTTGGCCATTGGAATGCATTCTTTTGCACTGAGTTTTGTGTTTTATGACTTTTTTGACGCTCAGACAAATAATGTAACATTGTAGGGGAAATACCAGGTCATTTCTGAGTTAAAAGAGAAGGAGATTAGCACCTTGAAAGAAGAGCTGAAGTCGCTCCAGGTACTGAACTTGTACTCTCTGTCCATTTATCCTCTTCGCACTATCACATTTATGACTTCATTTTTCTCATTCATGCTTTAGACAAATAATGATTTACCATAGATCTGTTATAAAACAGACGTCCTCTGCTAAGTCGAGGGCAGAAGGTCCGAGCCAATTTGGCTTCCAGAGCGTTTGTCCTCAGGCTCGACGCCACAGAGGTGACAAACAGCCATCCCCACGGACCGCTGCACTTTAACGACCAGCCGTCTTGTATGGAGACAATTTGAGGCTGTTTTTTTTTTTTTTTTTTTTTGATATTTTATCCGGGGGACATTAACTGCTGTGTTTGGCTAAGTTGAGGCCCAACTGTCTTAATTCTTAGGACATGGTCTAGTGGTTCCCTTTTTTTCATTTTTACATGCACTCTTGTGATTAAAGCACTTCACTCACAAGCTTCTTGACAATACTGTATCTGCTAAATTACAAGTTTGCTCAGATAGAACAGCTCTGTAATTAATCCAAAATAAAATTGTGGGTTTTTACATTTGAAGTTGAATTCTAACACAATTACTTACTATCTAATGAATGAAAAAGCAAATATATTTAGAGAAAAACATTTTGATTATTCATGATTTTACAATAATCTTTTTTTATGACACATTCATCCTGGAGGGATTTTTCTCGCCATTTTAATACTCCACAACCAATTTGCAACTTTGTATTAAACTTGTGAGGCACATGCACTTTATAATTTTTTTTTAAGAATCATTATGTTTGAAAACAATCATGTTGTGATTTTGGCGTGAGTTTGTCCTTGTCTTTCAGCTGCTGAAGTACAACTTTGAAAAGAAATCCAATGAGTTGGTAAGGAGGGTTTTAATTTGTTCATATTGTTGACAGAAGAAGGTGGGAGTGAGAAAAAAAAATCACTGGGGGAATAGGAGAACCAGATTTTAGATGGAGGAGCTCATCACCACTAACGGATAGGGAGAGTGTGACACTTGAACTGCCATGACAATCTTAAAATATTTTATTACCAGGCCTTGCTTGGTCGAGCCCTCTTCCTATGCGAGTGGCACGGTAAGGGAGTTAAAAGAAGGGTGGTGTATTAAGATCGAAGGGAGTGAAATGAGAGCGAAGGGAGTGAATTATTGAAGAACGAGTGATACAGACAATCAAACTGTAATGGCAGTTTGAAGAGCGCTAAAGCTCTGTGAGGCATGGACTTTGCTGATGGCTTCATTCCATAATAACACCGCAAGTGTTAAACCATGAGCATCAACTGTTTTGGCTGAATTATTGTATCGCAGAGTCGATTGGTACTTTCTACTTCTTTTTGTGTTTCTTGTTGTCAAGAGTATATTGAGTAAGCATCTCACACCATTCCGGCAGCTTGATTCAGAAGGGTCGTGATAACGATTCTAAAGGCCCGTGACCGGTCATCCACCTTAGAATATTGAGTTTTCAAGTTGTGGTATGGGCTTAAGCTATCAGGCCTTGGCTGTACTGTATTTTCACTGATTTCAACGGGATGTGTCAGAGTGGGCTTTTTTTTTTGTTTGTTTTTTTTATGCGGTCATTATTTTATCTGTTCTATTTCTTTGACAGGAACAAAAGCAAGCTTTGCAGGTTCGGTCAAAAGACAGTCACCTGATCCAAATGGGAGAGATTGAGAAACGGTTTGCCGTTCTATCTAGGCAGTGTGCCACACTCAAGAAAGCACATGAGCAACTGGAGCAGAATGGTAACTGAAGGATTTTCATAAATGGAAATGTAGCTTTAGAGCAGTGGTTTTTAACCTGGGTTTGATCGAACCCTGTGGGTTCTGTGAATCGGTCTCACGGGTTCGACGGAGCCATGGAGGTTAAGACATACCCGACTCAACATGTCAATTAATTATGACATGCCCGCATGGCCATTGCTGGCTGCAGATGATCACATTAAATTGCTTGTCCATTCAGTCCTGCAGGAAATTTAGTTCGCTCAGTAGTCACCGTGTGGCTGTCGTGATAGTACGTCATACAATTTAAAAAAAACCTATACTTATGCCATGTAATTTTATTTACTTTTTTCTGTTTTTAATAAATGTGTTTTTAGTCATTCATTCATTCACCACTTTATCCTCACTAGGGTCGCGGGGGGTGCTGGAGCCTATCCCAGCTGTCTTCGGGCAGTAGGCGGGAGACACCCTGAACTGGTTGCCAGCCAATTGCATGGCACACAGAAACGAACAACCATTCGCACTCACACTCACACCATGTGTTTTTAATGTCTTGAATTTATTTTTTAAAAAAGCATATTTTTATTTTTCATTAAAGAAGGGTTCGGTGAATGTGCATATGAACTGGTTGGGTTCAGTACCTCTAACAAGGTTAAGAACCACTGCTTTAGAGTTTGTTTGGGTTACTACAAAACAGTTAAGTTGTGGTCAAACTGACCTTAAAACGGCATCAACAACATCGCGTACAACTAAAACAACAATGCTAGCTACTGAATGTTGGGGCAAAGTTATCAGCTCATTTTACTATCTGTCATATTGGCCATGTGAAATCTTTGCTTTATTTGTGAGGTTAACAAGATCCTGGAAACAATGTTCAGGCTTTTTATTGAATAATAACCAATTTAAACAGCAAAACAAAAGATCCTCATCTTCTCCAATTATGTTTTTTTTTTAAGTAGTAGTAGTAAGTAGCTTGTTAGTCATTGAAGAAATGCTGACAAAAATACTGTGGAGATGAGATCTCTCAGTACACCATCATGCTTGAAAGTGAGCATTTGTGTAAAATTTTATGAATCAGGACAAAACATCCAGTGCATAGATACCACAAGTCTGTCCTGCTCACACCAATCGTGTGTGTGTGTGTGTGTGTGCGTGTGTGTGTGTGTGTGTGTGTGTGTGTGTGTGTGTGTGTGTGTTCTCGCGCATGTGTTTGTGACAGTTGAAGAAGCCATGAAAAGAAATAAGAAACTAACGGCTACAAATGAAAAACATGAAGCAACCATTCAAACACTAATGAAGGTATACCTCCAAATGGTCAACTGGTTCCAACATAGATGGCATCTGAGCCATTGCAAAATCATCATCTCCTTAATTTGGCTGGAAGATAATTTCAACCAATCGGTTTCAGGAGTTGGAGGAGGTCAACACCAAAGTGATCAAAACAAAGTTGTCGTCAGTCCGACATGAAACCGACAACTTAGTGACACACAAAGAGCAGCATCTAAATCAGCTGAGTTACAAGCTGAGCATGGTAACTCTCAATAATCTACTAATTGAATTGAAACTTCATACACACGTTTGTCATTCAGTACGTGTGACACAAAGTAAATGGAAAAAGGCAAGGTCTTCAACTGGTTATTAACTTATGTTCATATGTTTAGGAAAAGGAAATAAACAAGAGGCTACGGGAAGAGTATGCAGCTGTGCGTTCAGAGAAGCAAGTGAGTGATTTGACTAACTGTGAAAACACTTACTGTGCAGTGTGTCAAACTTTCATAATTTCCATTAACAAACACTTGGTCCGTTTGTTTTTAACAATTTTGCGAAGTAAAAAATGATGTATATCTGCTCCAAAGCTTGACTAGATATACAGTGTGTTGATTTTGTATGTGTGACTGTCAAGGAGGTGATGATGTCCCTGCAGCACACTCAGCAACTCTTTTTGAACCAGACATTGGCTGTGAACAGACAAGAGCTGCAGCTGCAGACACAAGAGGAGCAGTACAAGGTCAAAATTTGTGGAGGAGTATTTACTGTACATGACAACAACTGTACTTTTACATTGCTTACATCACTTTAATTATTTTTACATTGAGGCGTTTTTCTCATTTATGACTTGAAATGAAAAGCATTCATTCATATTGAGGATGGCTAATAATAGTATGTATTCCCCCATGTGGATTCTCTTATAAATGACCTAATCATTGAATTTGAGACAGCATAGAAAGCACAGCTACCTCCCAGCAAGAAGGTTGTGAGTTTGAATTTCAAATCTGTGATGTTACAATAGCATGTTCTACCTGTGCTTGCATGGCTTTTTCATAGCTCCTCGTCTTCCCAAAGTCTTATACACACCTATTTTAGACTAATTGAAGACTCAAAATTGCCCCAAAGTGTGAATATGACCGAGTCATTGTCACGAGGGCTCGATATTCGTAAACAGTGCAGGTGCGCTCGAGCATAAAAAGTTGTGAAAGCCACATTTAGCATGTTTGGCAGAGGTCTCTGCGACATGCAGAGCGTATCAAGAGTGTCACTGTTACACCTCATAAATGTACAGTATTTTGCACGTCTCAAACTTCTACATGGACTCCATTAAATCAGTTTCTGCTTTCACTATCTCAAGAACTGTGTGCCTCTCATGCACCAATTTTAAAGGGAATGAGAGGAGCCTCTTTGATTGCATCTGAGCAAGTCGGCTGTTTTCATGGCCACAATGGACCAAAAACCCTCTTTTCCAACTGCCAAGCTGCGTACATCTCCGAAAATTCCAATGCTTGGTGTAGCCCGCCAATTCTCACAGTTAGGCTATCTTCACACTGCAGATCAATTCAGATTTGTTCTACCAAATATCAGATGTGTGTGTGTGTGTGTGTGTGTGTGTGTGTGTGTGTGTGTGTGCGCGCGCGCGCGCGTGCGTCTGTGTGCGCGCGTGTAAAACTCTTTGGGCATCCACCATATGACTGACTGATTATAGGTGGACTGCTGAAATTTACTAACTGAAGCGCGGTTAAAATAACATGACCGACTGATGATTACAGTTTGTTTTGGCTTGAAAAAATGATGTATTGACGGGATGGCAATTTTTTTTTAATTGCCCACCTCTGTTAAAATGGCAGAAATTAATTTGTAAGAAAAATGTCCTTTCAGTTTAAGGCATTCCTGTTATATTTAAGTTTATATATATATATATATATATATATATATAAAAAAATCCTCGTCTCACCCCTCGGGTGGTGTCCATCCCTCATTCAGCTCGGGTCCTCAACCAGAGGCCAGGAAGCTTGAGGGTTCTGCGCAGTATCCTTGCTGTTCCCAGCACTGCACATTTCTGTATATATATATATATGTATGTATATATATAAACGGTATATGTGTGTTCTTGTTATATAAACATTATTTATTGTATTGGTGTTGAGGTGAGTGATTTTACTACAGGCCCTCAAACTGGATCATGCAGAGATGCAAGAGAGAAGCAAGATAATGGAAGAAAAAGTTGCTCAATTGATGGTGAGATACACGACCAGACCAATTTGGACAAAAAGGAAAGAGATCAATTTATTGTTAGTCAAAGTCAAAGAATCACATTTTGTGTCATTTAAAAGGAAAACTTATGGGTGATAATAGTTTGGTAATCAAAAGAAAATGTTTCTCTTTCACATGTAGAGTGAACAGCAACATTTTCAAGCACTGAAAGAGGTGCATGATGACCTCCAACAGAAATACAATCAACTGTCTACACAGGTCAAAGTGCAGAAAACAAGGAATTTGGAGGTATGCATGAGATTTACCGGTATCTTGAATTTTTGTATTTGCATTAATGACACCCAACAGAGAGCCTGACCTGAATGCATTTTTTTTTTTTTTTTGGGTAATGCAATAAAGTGAGGTATCAAAAGCAGCTAACCCTCCAACACACTAACAACAGGTTTCCTATATGTATGGAGAAGTATGGAATTTGATTTCGTAAATTGATATGGAAAATCAAAACTATCATTGAGAAAATATTAATGTTTGGAATATTGTTAGAACAATTGCAATTGTTTTCTCAATATTTCACACAAACGCAGGACGAGTAAAAATTTACAGGGAAAGGTATGCTCAGGCTAAACCACACTGAACCGGCTGTAAATTATCATAAAATGTAGTCATGAAACACCAAAATAAATTATTGATGATTTTCACTCAAGTCTTTTTGGAACTGCATTCGTTACAACAGAGAGTAACCAACTATGAACAGAAAATTAATAAGTGTCTGGAGAGAAAATACTCTAGAACGCTCAGTCCCACAAATTAAAATCCAAAAATTGGAAATGAACTAATACGGTACCGCAAATGTCGGCAAAGAGGCGTTGTCGCTCAGATTAAAAGTGTATTAATATATCGTATATTAAATATTTGCAGTGGCAGTGCTGTTATTTCTTTGTTTGCACAATCGTGCTGTATTTTAATTTTGACTTTTGAGATGTGCACAATAAATGTTCTCAAAATTCCATCATATATTGAACTTGTTTTTTTAATCAGTTCAGCTTTGCTAAACGACTATACAGTCTGATATTTCTTGTAATGTGTCGCTCTGTAAATAAAGCTATTTCCACATTGTTGCATATTTATCAGTATAGTACCAAGACATTGTTTTGAATACAATTGTAAGTCAAATAAAAAAAAAAAAAGGCAAATATCAGTATTTTGTCACCTGAAACTACATAAAGAAAGAAAATATAATGAATAACTGAACATTGTACGCATTTTTGTTGTTTTGGCAAATACGCAAATGTTCCTGACATAAAATGTTCCTGACAAAAATATTTAGAATGGTCTTGAGGGATCATGATTGGGTTTGGCATATCTGCATTCTCCACGTAATGTGCCTGAAAACAGCACAATTTTGGTTCTGTGATGCCTCGGAATTTCTCCCAGAATAAACTGAAAGAGTTTATTCCTCAACTCTTTTTCGGTTGGCAGCTGATGCAAACTTTTTGCTTTCTGTTTTGGGAGGTGCGTTGTCACTTTAAGCCATTTTTCATGAGTTCAATGGGCGTTTAGCAACCATGAAGTGGGCAGTCACAAATCTATGTCCCAGTGACGCCAACCTCGAATTCGCTCATTTTGCAAGCCTTTTCCGTTCTAAGACTATTGCATGAAAATGACCAATTGCATAGATGTACATGACATAGATACCATGTCACAGACTCAATTTGACCTGTATTTTGCATAAAATAGTGGAGGGAAAAATATTGTGATGGCATGAAACCTTAACACAATGAAACTAAGTAGCAGCCTCCAAGTGCACAACTGCTGCTGGGTTAATCAAGGTTGATCAAGAAGCATTGTTGGATTTTAAGTTTGTGGATAATTTTTTTTTTCTCTTGAAACATGTCTGTCTTTCTACTCAGATGTTCCCCAGTCTAGCAGAGGGACCCGGAGGGAGACCTTCTGATGAACCCAAGTCCAGCTTCACACTGTCTGTCTTTGGCAGCCTTCAGAACACAGCCGTTTCTCAGAGCAAAATCCTGGACTGTCTGGAAGATACGAGTGCTAAGACTAAACTGGATGGTGAAATGGGAGGTCAGCCAACATAATATAAACAGGGAGTTGAGCATGCTTTATTATTTGTTCTTTTTCAAGAATTTAGTACTGCGTAGCATTTTAGGTAGGATCGGGACATGCTAGAAATAAACAGATAAAATACAGAAGCATTTTGTCTTTTTTTTTTTAATTCTTACAGGCCATATTTTTATATGTGCAGTTTCAGTCCAACTTGAAGTCATGTTTTTTTTTTTGTTTTTTTTTGGTACTTACGCAATGTGTTCTTCTAGGACAAGGAACACCAATGCTCCCCGGGCAGTCTGAAACTCAGCTACAAGTTCAACTTGAGGAGCCCTTTTCAATTAGTTCACCCAAAACGCTTCTGGTGCTCTCACAGACAATGGACAGTGATGATACCCTTTTGAATAAACCCACGCGCAGCTCTAACACAAATGAAAAGCTCTCTAATGAAGGGTCAGATCAGGCTTCTCATCAGTCTGCAAATGAGTTGGCTGTCAGTGAAAGCTTCGTGAATGGAATAAACATATCAAACTCAGACAACAAATCAAGCAATTACATACTGACCAACGACAGAAAGAGAGATCATGGGAGCACAAGCCCAAGTCGAGAAGACTGTTGTGGGATGGACAAAGTGACGGAGGCAAGGAACAATAGTGATGGAGGGCACACGAATGAAAGTCATCTGGGGATTGCTCACGATGTCCTGGAAGAGAGATGTTCTGGAGAGGAGAAAGAGATTCTTATTTCCCAAACAGCAGATCGTGGACACATTCAAGAATACGGTGAAGCGGGTGCACACAAGTCCAAAACAGAAACAACAGCAGAGTTCAGGGATGGAGAGAAAGACAAAGGAAAAACCGAAACAGAGCAGGAGGTCAGGATGACTTGTCATATAAAGAGCAATATCCCACCGGACACTGACTTAGTGGACCTCAGTGAGAAAATAGGCACCGTCTGCGTGACAGACTGCGATCAAAAGGACACAAAGAAGGTTGCAGACCGCAGTCCTGTTAACATGAGAGAAGGGCAGCTACTTCACAACATCAGCGGTCCTCCAGACCAAAGTTTCAATTACAACGCTATTGCGCAAGTGGCTCAACACTCATGTCAGGTTGAGGTCCAAACCAATTCAGAGACAGTCAAGTCCTCACCAACAGCAACTTATCCAGTGGTTGAGAATACCACAGAAGTGACGAAATTAGATAAATCAACAGATAATGTTCAAACTAACTTTTCTGACCTTCTGAGTCAGTCAGTGAAAAATCAGACAATGACACAATCTGTTAATATCACCAGCAATGTTACTCCCACGGATGAAATGAAGGGTGAAGATACAAATGAGGAGGTCAAGAAAACCATTGTTGACACCAAGGTTGGATGTCTTAATATGAATACATCTGAGCCTGCGAATGGACCATTGGAGGTTTTTGAAAGTGATGCATCCAAGGAAGTCTGTGGGATGACCTCTCAGGCAGAACCTGTCATTTGTTATGGGGATTTGAATATTTCCATTTCCAACCCCGACATTGCAGAGGATTCAAAGAGCTCTAAAAGTGTCTTGTTAGTCTCTGATCAACCAAAAAGTGGTAATGTTGAATCACCTGAGTTTGACACATCGAAATGCCAAAAGCAGCCTGTTGTAAAAGAAACGCTTGCTGTTATGAAGCAGTCTTCTTTGCCCATTTTGAAGACTTATAGGCCATCATTTGACTGGGGTGGTGCACTGAAACAGACGGTTCTATCGGCGACTCCCTCTGACTCCAACCTGCAGCCAAATATTCAGGTAGTCTTCATTGAATAGCTAAAAATATATTGATTTGTGTTACTTCATGAAGTCTTAAGGGAGATTAAGAAGGGGGACCAGAGCAGGGTTCTACTTGAACCGTGACCTGATACCACTTCTGACTGTGTCGGGCCACCCAAAATTCACTAACAGAACAAAAAACGCTAAAATAAACACGTGCCTTTTTTTTTTTTTTTTTTACTCGAGAGTTTTATCTTCTTAAATTGGTGGCACGGTGACAAACTGGTGACCACGTTCGCCTCAGAGCTCTGAGGTCTTGGCTCTGTGCATTCCCGTGAAGTTTGCATGTTCCCCCCATGCCTGCATGGGCTTTCTCCGGGTACTCCGGTTTCCTCCCACATTCCAGAAGCATTCATGGTAAGGTTGACTGAACGCTCTAAATCAGGGGTGTCAAACTAATTTTTGTTGCGGGCCACATTGTATTTATAGTTTCCTAGGGCCATTATAACTGTGAAACCATATACCGGTAAATGTTTAATCACCTCCACATATTGCGTATACAGTACAAAACAAATTGCTAGATAACAAGTTTTGAAATCAGAAGTCAAGAATAATAGTTTGCTTAACTCATTCAGTACCAGCCAAATCTGGACCAAGTCTGAAAAGACGTTTAAAAACGTCTTTGGGAGTGAATGAGTTAACTATTGTTGAAGTTTGCAATATCGCAATGTTATTATTTGTTACATATGACAATTTGAAATTTTGGTTCAGATTCATTCATTCAAGCATCATGGAAGTTGACATGCTTGATTTGCTTTCGTGGGCCACATAAAATGACTTGGCGGGCCTCATCTGGCCCCAGGGCCTTGAGTTTTACACTTGTCCATTGGTGTGAATGTGGTTGTGGACGTTTTTTTTTTTTTTTGTCTATTTGTGCCCTGCAATTGGCTGGCCAGCAGTTCAGGGTGACCCTAATCTCGCCATAAGGACAGCTGGGAGATGCACCAGTATCTCTACGACCATAGCGAGGATAAACACTTCAGAAAATGGATGGATGGATCTCTTTGAATTAATCAATCATCATTGATCTTTTTACTTGGAACGTTATGAGATGCATCATCTGCAAGGGAAGATATTGCAGTTTATCTGCCAATGTGATGCACAGACCCCAGCAGTCTATTTCTGTCTCTGGAATGTCAAGCAAGGCGTACTTGACCGTACTGGGCCTCCAACTGCCCTGATTTTGATGCAAATGAGGGATGCAACTAGGATTGTCCGGGAAAAGACTTCTTTTAACCCACAACGGCGCAAATGGTCCTTTACGTCCAATTCTACCTCTGCAAAGTCGAGCAAAATATCAAATAAAACAACTTAAGTTAGACTGCGCTATGCTCTGCACTTGGGCTTGGCATAAAAATAGGACCCTCTGTGTCAAAGGCATCTGCAGTTAGCCTAACAGCAGATATGTGGAGATCGTAAACTGACAATAATTATGGTATTTTTTGGACCACAAGCATCACTTTAAATCCTTACATTTTCTCAAAAATTGAAGATTGCACTTTCTAATCCGAACAGCATTTCTGTCAGTGCGTTTCCAGTAAAGTTAAATTGCTTCTTATTTACTTCCACATTCACGTTCTCAACACAGTAAGCTTCCGATAGCTGATGGGACGGGCAAAAAAGGTTGGATAATGGTTAGTGCGTTGACTTGTCTACAGTGTTTGAACTGTCAAATAAGATAACATTTGGCATTAGCCAAGTAATAACACAACCACCGGTCACAAGATTGAAGAGCGATGTTCAAACTTTTTTTCGTCTATCAGAAGTTGCCATTCTCTTCTACGCTCGAAGCAACCCCTGTGTAGTTGCATGGGGAACAAAAGCAAGTGAGACGCGGCACTACCCAATATTTTGTGCCTGGTCTGAATCAAGCATAATTGCGCGAAATCTATCAAACGGTACGGTACAATTAGAATAAATTATTTGATCTGTGTGGGCGGCCCGGTGGTCCAGTGGTTAGCGCGTTGACCTCACAGTGCAGAGGTACCGGGTTCAATTCCAGCTCTGGCCTCCCTGTGTGGAGTTTGCATGTTCTCCCCGGGCCTGCGTGGGTTTTTTCCGGGTACTCTGGTTTCCTCCCACATTCCAAAAACATGCATGGCAGGCTGATTGAACACTCTAAATTGTCCCTCGGTGTGAGTGTGAGCGCGGATGGTTGTTCGGCTATGTGTGCCCTGCGATTGGCTGGCAACCAGTTCAGGGTGTCCCCCGCCTACTGCCCGAAGACAGCTGGGACAGGCTCCAGCAACCCCCGCGGATCAGAAAATGAATGAATGAATGTGCCAAATAATCCGGTGTGCCTAATGTATGAAAATGTATTTAAGTAGACCTGTTCATTTATGTTAAAAAAGGGGGACTACCATCCCGGTGTAACAATCCAGAGGTTTTGTTTCTGATGTACACACAGGAACTATGGGTGGATCTCATCCACCTCGGTGACCCCCAGATAAAGGGGAGGCCGCCGCAGGGATCCCAGACACTGCTTCCCAACGGGAAGGTGTATTGGCTGAATTGAGGAAGTCTTTTGAAGTGTTCTTCCGACCGATTTACAATGTCCAGAATTGAGATCAGCAGCATTTCCATCCCCACTATACACAGTGAAAGTAAAAAAAAAAAAAAAAAGCAAAGTTGAATGTGACCGTTAAGTACAATAAAATGATGAATTATTTTAATCAAGTTTTTTTCATTCTCGTGTCATCTCCATCTGTGACCACTTTACTTGAAGGCTGAAGTCAACAATAAAATAATTGACTAGGTAACAATTGGCCATACATGAATTTTTCTGTGCGATATAGAGGTTTGATTTTGTTCGCATTAACAATCAACTTTTGTGTTTTTTCAGAGCTCCCCTGTATCCGAACAAAGTGCTTTTTCTTGTGGGCTCCTCACACAGTCTCCCTGCACGTTTAAGAGCCAGCACAGTAAAGGTGATGACTGTGAAAAGCATTTGGCTGTTGTGTGATTAAGAGATATTTCACATTGGTTGTGTACATCTGTCTGTCGTAGAGCATCTCACTGTTTTGATCTTGCTGCGTCTCACTTCATTCCTCCTAGAACCATTGGTGATTATCAGCGCCTCCGATCTGTTGAAGGCCTCCAGCATCTCTGCATCTGCAGGATTCGGGAGGAAACATAAGTTGGGAGAGCGGAACGTTTTTGGAGAGAGCGTGAGAGAAACAGTAGCGACAGATGTTCGTTACAGAAGTTTGATTTTATATAAGTGTTTAGTTGTCTACATAAGGCTACAACTTGCAACTCAAAATTGACATTGAGCCACCTCCCTCTCAGTGTTGTACCCTACTCAAGCATGTTTAAAATGCAATTCATCGTTGTTTTCAATTACATATTACACATTAAAAAAGAGGTAAATTGCAGCAGTAGGTTTTGAAAGCGAGCTGTGAGCTGGCCCAGATGACATTGCCATACAGATATTTTTTCTGTCGAATAAGTATCACAACATTGGTTCACACGTTCCCACTAAGGTTACAAAAAAATCCCTTCCGGGATGCCGATCAATTATGTATTTGAAACAAATTTTTCATAGGAATTTTTGGAAGTCGAAAAAATCTATTGCAGGGTCAACTGTTTTTACCTTTTCACAACTATCCAGTTTTACATTCTTAACAGTCTGCAAATGTAAGTTATCCATATTTATATCCACACATATAATTAGTCCAAGTGAAGTAGGACAGGTAAATAGAAGTTTACTAAAGCTAAACCATCTTCATTGTATATTTTCAAACTGCAAATACAGTCGTTGAACCTTTGATTAAATTTTAGTGGTGACTCAGGTGACGAACAGCGTTTAGTCCCTGAGTGTCTCAAAGTTCCGTCAGTCATCAATCGGCCAGCAAAACGAAGTGGGTCAGTGACGGACATCCTGTCGATACTGACGAAATTCCCACCTCTGGGAATCATTCATGTTGAGAGTACATGGAACATTGAACAGCATGAAGCGAAAAGAGAAAAAAAAGTTATTAGAAATTTCCATGAAGTGTAAAATGCATTATAATGAGGAATCATTAGAGGTGGGTCAATCACTTGAACAGAGGAGATTAAATACACTAAGTCACTGTACCATCAAAAGCTACATGCACAATAAATAGTCAGACAGAAACCAGAGCTAAGTCCGATATCATGACATGTAATGAGATCTTACGTTACATGATCAACTTTTGTGGTCAGAAGACCTGCAGATAACAATAGCCTACATCTGGCCAAAGCATTGCATACAATTGAAGATGTGAAGTACTCAGTGGAACAGTTGTGTTGAATGCTGAATCAGATGTGTATTGGCTGATGTGTCAGTCCTGATACATCCTGTAAGACAACCTAACAGACAATAGAAATGAACATTTTGCAATTGTGCGGGTCTCTCTACATCCTCACTTTTTTTCCCACTCTTCATCGTCTGTCCAACAGTTGTCAACAATTTTCTTTATCCTCCTATGTCTGTATTTTTTTTTCCACGGGTACACACACTCCCAGTTACCCTTTTGTTTTCACCATTGCAAACCATCACTGTGGTTTTATAAGATCCAGATGCAGGCTGTTACGGAAGATAAAGTGCAACACACTGGAAGTGTTAGGAACCAACTGGTCTAGTGATGTAAAATAAAAGTCATCTTCATTCTGTGTCCACTCAGAATAGTGGGAACTTCACACGAGGTTAGTCTGGCCCTGAATTTTCTCTTTGAGATGGATATTGTAACAATGATTATTACCTGCCCAGTCTTTGTCCATCAGTTTCAGTTCCTCAAGTCGCCTAAATTAATTATCTCTTGTTTTTACCACATTGGAATTCATGATTCTCTTTCTGGTGTGTGTGTGTAGGAAAGCAGAGTTCCACTGTCTGCCCCTTCTTGTCCGTTCTCATACTCGTCCAGCACATTGCCGAGTCCTTCTGGGTATGTCATTTACAGTATATTGACACAATAAGCAAGTTGACATCTGATCCAGCAAAGACAACATATTTTCATCTTGGAGAGCTATTTATGTGAACAAGTCAATTTACATTCAAATCAACATGTGGCTAATGACATTGGTTCTAAACTGCATTTGTGTGTGCTGGAAACGCAATTGAAGTAAACAAAAAACCCTGCCACAGTGTGACTTTAGCCACGGCTGCTTCTACTCAACCCACAGGTAAACGAGCACTCTCCGAGAGCTCATTTATGTGCCGAATCAATGTGTGTGTGTGTGTGTGTGTGTGTGTGTGTGCGTGTGTGTGTGCGTGTGTGTGTGTGTGTGTGTGTGTGTGTGTGTACATATCATTGATTATATATTGATTAGCTAGTTCATTTTGTGTTATTTTGTTCATTGTGTGTTATTTTGCAACACTACATGGATTTTATAATTATATAATAGTGGTGGTGTGAACAGAAATGCGAAACATGAATGGTAAAAGCCCTATTGTGCTATTGTCAATTGTACTGTCAAATGTAATCTGACTGAAATTGCTCTTATTAACATGGTTTAAAGCAGGGGGTGTCAAACATATGGCCCGCGGGCCGGAACAGGCCCACAAGGAGGTTCGATCAGGTCCGCAGGATAATTTAAAAGTGAAAAAAATGCATAAAAGACACGGAATGAATATTTTTAATAAGGTGCAATTCATGGAGTATCCGCTAGGGTGACACACTGTTTTGATCAGAGTAAAAGACAACAGCAGCCTCAGTCTGTCACTGAGACAGACCCAACACAGCAGATGCTATCAAGGACATGTGAATACTTTATTCTTTACAAATTAATAGCACTCTCCTTAGTTTGTAAGGTGTAGGCAGGGATTAAATTTAGATTTTATATGCACGTGTAAATGGTTTAAAAATTCATTTCTTTATAAATCTCGTTTAATCTTAAAGTGCATTGCTATATTTTGCAATACCAATTACTTGTTAAAGTTTTGTGCCTTTGTACAATCAGTGGGATCAGTTGCAATGCATATATGTGAAAGATAAAAGTAAATTGCACATTTGTCTAAGGAAATCTAAGGTGCTTCATGAAATCTTTTGTAAAAGATCTGTTTCTTAAATGTCAACATTTTCCTAATGTTCTTGTGCTTCTGTAGGCCAAAACAAAGGAAAGACATTATTTTGGTTATTTATAGCAGAGTATGGTATAATTTTAATGGTCCGGCCCACTTGACATCTACCGAGGCCGTATGTGGCCTATAATGTGAAATGAGTTTGACACCCCTGGTTTAAAGCTATTTTTAACCGCATAAAATCATTTCTGTCATAGCTTGTTTTGTTTTCTCTCTTCATGTAAAGCAGAACTTCATTGTCCGCTGCAGCTCCAAGATCCGATTCCGAATCGGAAACTCTGTGCTCTCAAGAAGAGCAACAGTCATCATTCAGAAACCAGATATCCAAAATTGAACAGTTCTTAAAATCCGAGAGGCTCCACCTGTCCAAGCGACGACGTACAGACAGCTAAACCAACATTAAATGTTAGTACTGCAGAGTTCAATATTTTGAATGTAGTCCTTTCACTTCTGAATAAAACATTTGGTGAATTATAAATTAATATTAACTCATAGTATTTATTCTCACTGATAGTATTTCAAGTTCAATGTTCCTGCTTTTGCTATTTTTTTTGTCTGGTCCACGTTTATATTGTTGTTTCACAGCTGGCAAGGGAAGAATATCACATCCATTCTTGTCAAAATATTTTTTTTGTTGTTTGTTTATTTGTTTGTTTTAGTGAACGAAATAACATATTGTAAGGACTTGTGGTTTTTTTTTGTTTTGTTTTTTACAGTCTATATCTGTAATGTTTTTCTCCAGTGTTTGTATGTGTATGTTTCAAGTATCATTCGCAGTTTCTTTCTTTCAAAGATTGCCATTAGTTTTACACAAATTGCTCAGATTAATAAACAGCAAATGCCAAGCTTTGTGGTCTGTTGTAACAGTGTTAATAAGTAATTAGCATTCGGTATTGAAGGGCAAATGGGGGTTGCATGTCTCAGAGGCACTTGCAGTCACACCTTCGGTCAACACCTTGCTGTTTCTGTTGCTGCAATTACAACATGGGACATAGCCGGTCAGGAGATAAAAAAAACAAAACCTTGTTAACATGGATTTAGAGGTGGCAATTAACTCAGCCTAGCTCATTACGATTAACAAACATCAATTAGCACACATTAAGTCAAATTTAAACATTCTAATTAGCCTCTTGTTAACTTAATGTTCCCAGTGAGAGGGTAACATATGGCCCCATGTTAGCATGAGCCATCTCACCACAGATAGTTGGCCGCTAATTGCAGGCAAATTGCTCTCTAAACACAATAGCAAGGAATTGGTCATTCCTGTGTTGCAAAGATTTAGATTAAGCCAGTAACTAATATTCAAATATTGTAATCATAATGTAGAGTATTCAGGGGTCTAGTTAGATGATCAGAGATAAAACCTAAATTCCTCCCCCCCAAAATCTTTATCTTGGCATGTCACAAAGCCATTTGATTCCATTTATGACAAACAATTTTCACTTACCGTTTACAGTGGTGGGCATTTACACTTGTCTATCAGTACCCACAGAAGATTCGTCACTGATGGACTCCCGTTTTCGCTGGCAGATTGACGACTGACGGTCACTTTGAAAAAGTGACGGAATAAGTGCCGACAGTTGTGATTTTCTGGTGTCCACCTGGATGAGGGGAATTTGTGGGACGAGAAGCAACTTCTATTTTGGGGGTGTAAAGTGGTCCAAACTGTCTCAAAATCAATAAAATTGTGTATTCTTGCCCTTGTAGCAATGCAGGACGGACTGGGCCAGACTGAAATAATGACCGATGATGATGGACTTGCGGGTCTGTCGCTAGCGAATGACGGAAGTTCATTGGCCAACAATTGAGATTGCCCCATTTCTTCGGTCACCGAAGGAAGCTATGCTTATCCTGCGTATGTATAGTAAATTAGCAAACTCCCAGAACTATATTTTGGGAAGTTTCTGGCTGCCAGTGTATCGGCGACCAGTTCCAACGTTGCCTCTGCCCATGCGAGACCAATTCTGCTCACTCATTAAAATTAATGATGCATATTTTGATGCTTAGCACCACGTCTCCGCATGGTCCATCTTCCTGCACTTACTGCTAATGAATACATCTGAATGTTAATGCTCTCATAAAGACATCTGGTGCATTTGAGTGGCTTTGTCTACCACTGCTGACCCTTATCCTTATTGGGTGCAAGGGGGTGGGCGGGTATAAGGCGGGGGCGGTGCGGAATGTTAAGGAGTTAATATTTTCACAAACACTTTGCTCTCGCATTTAATTTCCTTATATACTTTTGTCATACACACACATGCGCTTGCAGCCATGCGCGCGCCCGCACACACGCGCCATGGATTATGAAGTTGTGGTGCTTTGAAACAGTCAATTACCCTCTAGCTGGGGAGGATACCTGCAGTTAATTACTGCTCAGAGTTTTATATGAAGAGTAAATAAGGAGACCACTGACATTCACATTCCATCAATGTGCCCCCAAGCACACACTTGGTTTGGCGTGTTTCTAGTAAGTGCTGATGCTTGGCCATATTGTGTATTGCATCGTGCAGAGGCGCACCATAGGAATAGATATAGCACGTGTATTGCACCACTGTGACAGATATATCAGAAAGTATGACTTTACAAAAATAGCAATGTCCTGATTGTCATTATTAAATGAGTGTTACTTTTTTTTTACGAGGCCCTGATAGTCTCTCTGTGAAAACCTCAAATTATGTTAAATACTAAATAGCTTTATCACCTTTATAAGGTCAAAATCTTTACTCTTGTGTTTGATCTCATATTGTGCAAATGGTCACAGTGTGGTACCTGGTAGTTTGGTTTCAAACGGTACACTGTGAATCGGCAATTTGGTTTACCTTTTCCCTGGTTATTGGCTTTGCAAAAACGTCATTTTCTAGCTCTCTAACATACCGTAACCTTAACCATCCCTAAACCCAGTTTAAACCACACTTCATGGTCATTGCCACGTCAAATCTTTGTTCCTCAGAAATAAATATACAGTGAATTCGTGCCAGACACATAAACATATCCCTTTCATACAGATGCCCTCACAGAAATAGAGCAGTTAAACTTTAGTTGTGATTTACTGGTCCACTTTATTGAAATTCTGTACATAAGAAGGGAGTGAAGCAGTATATTTGTCAATCCTCCAGTTAAATGGGTTTCAGCACTAAACATTGTTGAATATCCTGGGGTTATATGGCCGTGTTTTGTCACATTATACCTCTTGCCGCAAAATACATCTCAGTAAATCAAATGGGGAAGTCGTATTAAACAGTGCAGCCGACGGAGTGCAATCCTGGCACTCGGAGTGTACTCAAGAGCCTTAAATTGAAGAAGTGCAGCTGCTCCTTGGCCTTGTAAAATACTTGAATTAGAGGATTATAGTTGAGGGAGTGTCGAATGCTGTTATATCCTTTGTCCCATCTAGTTTCTTAATAACCATCTGACACTGTTAATTATTCAAACATTAAGTAATTTGTTCCTTTGTGTCAGGTTCTGGACCGAACCGAACAATGTTTATGGATTCCAGAAATGCGGGCTCAGACTAAGTGCGATAAATTTACAGAAAAGCGCACCGACAAAGTACAGACAGAAATCGCTGGTCACAAGGAGCCAGAAGAAAACAATGCATAAACAAAAGCGCTTGCAAAAGGCGAAGTACGAGGGAACACCAAGAATAAACAAACCAAATGTCAAGAAGCCAATAATGTGAAAGCCAAAGATCAAGAGCAATAAGATAAACAAAGATACTTACAAACTAGAATCTATGAATAATGAGAGCGACTATGAGAGTATCGAGAGGTCTACAAAACCAAATAAGGATCGAAAGAAAAGAGCTTTTCTTGTTTCTTTTTGTTTTTTTGTTTTTTTTACTTGAGCAAGTTGTACACCCTGAACTGGTTGCCAGCCAATCACAGGGTACACACAGACAAATAACCATCCATGCTCACACCCACACCTAAGGACAATTTAGAGTGTTCCATTAACCTGCCATGCATGTCTTTGGAAAGTGGGAAGAAACCGGAGTACCCGGACAAAATCCACAAAGGCACGGTGGGAAGATGCAAACTCCACAGAGGAAGACCGAAGCCGGAATCGAACCCTGCACCTCTGCACTGTGAGGCAGACATGCTAACCAGTCATAAACCGTGCTCCCCGCTATCTATCCACCCCCCTCCCCCAAAAATCAAACCTGCTTATCATTTTAGCATCATAGGGCTTCCCTGATGACAAATCGCTGATCTCAAATGATGTCACACTGCAAGATTTGTCGTTCCTGATAAAATATATCAGGCCCGATCCGAACAATCAGTTGTGATGAAAGATTGGGCCAAAATCTTGTCGTCTTATCCAGGCATTTGGCTGTGAGGTAACTACAATGACTCCCAGGTGTGTGGCGCCTGACATGTCCCACCTCTGGGAAACAGTTGGAAGAACCAACTGGCGGGGAAAAAGGTGGGGAGAAGTAAATGCATCATGAAAGGCAGTTACTCAATGCCATGTGATCCGTCGACTTATGAGCGGCAAACATCATCAATAATCAATGACGAGGCAGCTTGGCAGTCCCTCAGTAAGGCTTGATTGGAAACAAGGAACAGGTGCTGGAGGGAAACGCCCTTCACTCCAGCTGGGTCCGAAAATAAAATTAAAACAAGCAGACATGATTACGTATGCTTTTATTATTACGTCTGCAATGCATTTTTTAACCATTCAGACTCATGCCCATATCCCATGGCATTATGGGAAAAATAGCAAACGTAAATCATGCGCTGCATTCATAACAAAACCATAAAATTTCAAATAAACAATGTTTACTCCATTTTTGAGTGTTTGACTTGCGAGCAGCGTGAGACCGGTTCCCATCCTGTGACGGTGTGAATGAAGGTGTGAATGCTTGTTTGGGCTCTATATGTGCCCTGCGACTGGGTGGCAACCAGTTCAAGGTGTAGTCCGCCTTCCGCCTGAAGTCAGCTGGGATAGGCTTCAGCTCCCCCGTCACAAATAAGGATCGAAAGAAAAGAGCTTTTCTTGTTTCTTTTTGTTTTTTTGTTTTTTTTACTTGAGCAAGTTGTACACCCTGAACTGGTTGCCAGCCAATCACAGGGTACACACAGACAAATAACCATCCATGCTCACACTCACACCCAGAGACAATTTAGAGTGTTCCATTAACCTGCCATGCAAGTTTTTGGAATGTGGGAGGAAACCAGAGCACCCGGAGAAAAGCCACGCAGGCCCGGGGAGAACATGCAAACTCCACACAGGAAGGCCTGAGCCGGAATCGAACCCTATATCTCTGCACTTTGAGGAAAACGCGATAACCACTGTACAACGGGGGAGCCTGACCGTTGTTAACTTATTCATGCACCGTTCTTGTAGTTTGTCGTGTTGGTTTATTTCACCATTCTACTGATCAGTCACGCTGAGCTTTCAGTTCAAACTCAGCGGCGCCTCAGAAATGATGCAGGCTTTAATTCCGAGGGCATGCAGAGGTATGCGCATAATATTGAATCTGGCCCTTGAAAATAACACACCTTGTATTTATGTTTTAGATATACTCAATATTGTAGTCCTGTTTGAGGAGTTTGGCATTTGGTCAATGCCATCACATGTTGAATATTGGACAACGGTTGATACAATGGGTGAAAGCCAATTTGCATCCATTTTAACTCATGATTGCACTGTAATGTGCAAAAAAAAAAAGAATTCTCAGGATTTTAGAATTAGAAGTATGAAGTGACTCAAAGGTTTGATTGACAAGCGCAGTGCCT